AAAATATATATTTATGACACTTATAAGACGTCACATGACTCAAAAAACGGCCTTTGACATTAATCAAAATTTTGCTTTTTTGGAGTAAAATCCAAAAATAAACCAAAATATTACGTTATAAACAAATGAAACGTAAGTAAAAACAGTTTAGCAATCATTTTACTAGTTCATAGCAAAAAAATAAAAGGTTTAACACAAAAACTCTGGAAAAAGGAGAGATTCTAAAAATATAAGAATTTTGAAAAAACCGTTATTTTTAAGTTAAATTTTTTATTATGTTTGTAAAATGAAAAAAAAAAAGAAAGATTAAGTCTGCCAATACAAACAAAACAAACTACAATAAATAATTAACTTGAGTGTGGTAAGCTTCAAAACAAGTGTCTGGGTGAAGCCCTGGTTCAGATGGGCAAAATCGACAAACATATGTAGTTTTTAGTGGTTGACATTTAGCTGATAGTTTTCCTTTTGCATAGCATACTCTACATCTTTTGGTTGGTCTTTTATCTTTTGCATCTGGTGAAGCTACTTTGAGCGAAGGAAAATGTCTGCCAGTAAGACGAGATAATGTATCATCTAGTATTTGGTTGTTTGGTATAGCTGGATTGATTAGTGCTAAAGATGAAATAGTTTCATGCAAAAAATCAAGGAATGTTATTTTAGATTTTCCAGTTTCGTGTTGAAAAACTTTATGTGCATTTAGTATCACCTGTGAAATCATTCTAAATGCTAATTTTTTGTACCACTTATAACTTTTACGCAATGTTCGTAAACTATGTAACTGTTGATCCACTCTGTCAACCCCTCCCATGTGACTGTTATATGATCGCACTATTGATGGTTTGTATATTGCAGAGTCATTTGCATAGGTTTTACCAGTTTCAATCATTTTTGCTGAATGGCAAGTTGACAACATATATACAACCTTCTGTTTATTTCCTGATTTATTTTTGACAGCTCGATATTTACATGCAATAACACGTGAATCAATTGTGGATCGATAGAACACAGCCTCCCCTTTTTCTAACGCAAACTCCGCAATTTCTTTACAGTACTTTTTTCTATTTGATTTAACTGTCCCACAAAGGTGTGTGTTTCTTCCTAAAAGAAAAGTTGCTAATGAAGGGCTTGTGTAGTAGTTATCTGTAAACAGTATATGTCCTTTATCTAAAAAAGGTTCCATAAGTGCAGCTGGTATTCTCTCAGTGCTGGGCATATCCTCATTTCCGTCTTCATAAAACATACCTTTACCACAATACACCAAAAAATCTAGTGTTATTCCACTTGATGTGGTCAATTCATATAGTTTTATGCCAAATCGTGCTCTTTTTGTACGAATATATTGCTTAAAATGCAACCGTCCCTTAAAAAGAACAAGTGATTCGTCGACACTAAGATTTTGTCCGGGGCAGAATACATTTTTACATCGGTCTCTAATTAGTTCAATTAATGGTCGTACTTTGTGTAATCGATCACGGTTTTCGTCATTTACATCATAATTTGGATCATTATTATTGTTGAAGTGTAAAAACTTCAAAATCAGTTGAAAACGAGTGCGTGACATAATTTTTGAGAATATTGGAGTGCTAAAAAATTCAGATGTAGACCAATACATATGAATATCAGGTTTATAAATAATTCCCATAAGCAAAACAAGAGCAAGATACTTCTTTATTTCTAAAACAGTCACCGGTTCCCAATTTCCTACATACTCGTTACTTGCTTTATTCGGGTTCTTATCTATAAAATCTTGAGCATATCGATTTGTTTCAATTACAATAAGTTCAATAATACTAGGTGTTAGATATAGTTCAACAAAATCTAAAGGAGAAGGATTTTCATGCGTCATTCTTACTCTAAGTCCCTCTAGTTCAAAAAAAGGTATAACTGGATCTGCAGTATTATCAATTTTAACACGTTCCCATGTTGATATTAAATCAATTCCCTGTTGATTAATTTTTAAAACTCTAGCATTGGATTGTCCTCTTCTACCCCATGGCCTTCCTCTACAACCTCGATTGTTATTCCCTTTTTTTTCTTTACCTCTGTTAGTAACTTGAAGTATTCGATTTTTATTATTGACACTGTTTTTTTGAATACCACCGCGAACTTTTACTCTTTTTCGTTCTGCTATACCATTTTCTCTGGTGGAATCAAATAATTGATCAGAGAATAGGGTCTCCTTGTTCTCATTAGGGTATGTTTCCTCACTACTATTTTGTTCAATTTCTTCTTCCTCCTCCTCATCGATATCGATTTTATAAACATGATTTATTTGACAAAATTCTGGTAAAGAAGAACAGTTTTTATTCTGAAAATCATTAGATAAAGGTAAATTAGGAGCTCGCACAAACTCTATATCTTCCTCTTCGTATTCCCAATCTGTTTCAGGTTCGCTTTGATCGGCTGATAATTCACCAAGGTCCATATCATCGCTACTTTCATCCATAACTATTTTTAAAATTTCTTCCATATTTGAATAAGTTCTTTTGTAACTAGCCATTTTTAAAAATGCTATATCTTTTTAACTAAGATAAATTTTAACGAACGGTTTTCAGCCTATGATGTAATAACTATTCTATTTTCTATATCTGTAAAGAACACAACAAAAAACTCTATAAAACCGTGTTTAAACCGTAGAAGTTGAAATGACCCGCACAGCGGATCACAGGGAAAATCGCGATATTAGTTACGACCCGCTGTGCGGGTCTCAGGGAGTGAAAGGGTTAACGAAAAATTAGTTTATCAAGTTTTTATTTTTATTTAATATAAAAAAGCATTTCAAAAATCAATTTTAAAATTATGATAAAGACACAGACTTATTTTTATCCTTTTGCAAGCTAAAAAGCAAACAAAAATATTAAACAAAACTTCAATACAACAGAGAATTAATAATTTATAATTAAAACAATTTTTAGAGAAATATTCTGCTCTATTATCATCACCAAAAACAAATTTAAAAAAATAAAATCAATAAAATACTTTATATCAATTTTTTAAAAAGTTATTTTTTGTGTTCATGATGAAATTAAAAATTGTTAGAGACCAAAGTATAATACTCATCTTTATTCCTTTTTTATGTTTTGCTTTATGCAGAGTACTCACTTTGACTATAACAAAATACAGATATGAATCAGTGTTTTTTAAAAGGGCTGATTTGCTCAAAACTCGTTTTTGAGAAAACTAAAAAAACTATTTATATCTTTTAATATTAAATATACAGATTTTGTGTAATATATTTTTAAAAGATATATGCAAGAGTAACATCTTAGTACACTTTGATAATTGTTATAACATTTCGTTTGTTAATAATTAATATATGAAAGTTTCAAAAATTCGCCCTTTTAAAAAAAATCGAATATTTCACGAAAGAAAACAAATTAAAACTTTGTAAGAACTACAGCTATGTACTTTAAAACAATATTTTAAGGTGCCAGTAATAAATTTAACACATATATATATGAATTAATAACAAAAAAAGCTCTCAGTAAGCATTAAGTCTCAGCATTTAATCTAGTTATTCCTCAATGTCACTATCAGGGAGAATCTCAGACTCATTAGTTGGCCAGGAATACAGCTCGTTATAAAACTCGTTGTATTTTTCACGAATGAATTCTTTTAATATGTTAAGGTCTTCCACCTTCTTATTTTTCAGTGTAACTTTGCCACTTGGATAAGCTAAACTATTCACCTGTAGTACAGTACCCATATGTTTGGACATGAAATGTCCAAATGTATGACATACCAAACCACTTATATTGGTGAATGCCTTAATGTAGCCTTATTTTATCATGCTCATATACAAAATGAAACAAGTTACTAATTGAAAAGTGAACCTTATTTCCTTTTAGGGTATTTTAACCCTTGGTTTCTGATGAAATACAAAATTTTTTGTAATGTTTTGGGCTCCAAGCTTTAAAATCAAAAAGTTCAGTTCCATCTACACTTTCTTTCACCGTAATTTTTTGTGATCTGGAGCTGCTAATAATAAGCTCAGTGATTTGATGCATATGATAAAGACGGTCATGTGCTTTTAATACACTTGAAATTATACCAAAGTCCCTATTACAAGAGAGTTAACTATGCTCTCTCATTAGGAAGAATGGTTCGACTTTATCAAACCTACCACTGTCAGTTAAGTATAAACAAAAACGTGATAAGATCTGATTTTTATTTTGTCCACTACAGTTGTCACAAAACAAACATCATGTATTATAAATTGATGGAACTGAAATCAAATAATCAATTAAAAAAGTCGCAACTTCATTAGGCTCTTTTCTTCCTTGACCTTCATGGTATATATATATATATATATACATGACTTTTTTCTTCTTTAATGTTACGTTTATAAAAAACATTGACTGATAGCTGTCTCATATAATAAAGTTGTTGGACAGGTGTTTTTGGCAAATTTATTGTCTTCATATAGTCAAATGCAAATGATAGAATGTGTTCCTCATTGTAAAATTTATTACTCCTGTGCTTATGAACATCTAAATCAGTCTGCGCTGCTTTTTTAGCTACATCATTGAGATGTGGTGATTTCAAGCTGAGATTTAATTCTTCACACGTGCAACAAGTATCCACTTGTGGGCGCCCAAACCGTAAGTTAATATTAGTTTTAAAATGGTTCCAGTAAAAAGAGTTGCTCACTTTTTAATCTCGATTTGTTTCACTAAAACGTTGCCACATTGTTTTTACATTTAAACTTGCGTTGAGGTAATGTACTTTTTTCCCTGAGTAATGTGATTCCTTGAGTGGAAATGATCTTATGTAATTACTATCAATGTTAGTAATCACATAAGATGTTAGATTAGTAATACTTTTTATTCTTTTATCTTCAGGGGTTATTCCAATTACCTTAAGGTACCTTATTCTCCGTAATCGTTTTTCACTAATACTTAAGACATATAAAAGTTCACTGCAATATATCTTTATGCGTACATTGCCTTGAATCACATGATAAGAGAAGCTAATTGGCTGCTTTGGATTTTCAAGATCTTTTTAATGTGGTACTCTTCTTTTAACTTTAGTGACATCTATTAATCCTTGAATATAAAAATCTTGTTTGTCTTTGCATTTTATATCATAAAATTTGGAAAAGATATCTACACAGTTAGCTTCTCCAAAGTTCTCGAAACACTTTTTCTTGCACCTTTAAAAAGAAATCAAAAAAACTAATATAAAATTAATATAAACTGAAAAAATTTTTTTACTAAAATACGCAGCATTATTTATAATCTTAAATAGAGAACAACATTGCCACCAAAGTTGAGGGGAAATATACGATAGTACTATAGCTGGTTTAGACTTAGGGTTAGGTTTGTAGAGTTAAAATATATGCTATTTTATAATTTTTAGCCATAAACATATAATACATCTTAAATATTTTAAACTCATGCTTTCATGAAATAAGATTAATGTTTCAAAATTTACCTTATGAACTAAATTTCCCTTAAAATTTATGTATGATTGTCCCATTAAACGTGCTTGTTTTATTTTGTTATGTTTGTACTCACAAGGATAACTTTTTCTCTTTTTAGAACTTGGAATAACGAAGTCCATTAAAGTTTTATAATAACAACAAAACTATAAATACGAAATACTATTAACATTTTTTCCGTATTGCGCCTAAAATACAAATCAGCTGAAGAACGATTTTTTTAAAAAGGGCGTATTTGAAGCAAATTCGCCTTTTTTAAAAAAATCGAAAACTTTCAGGTGGCTTTATTTGAGTAAAAAGATAAAATTTAAACTCATTTTAAACATAGACTGATGAAGCTGTCATAGAAGAACACAAAACACACAAAAAGTGAATTTCAAAAAAAATGTCAAATTAGCCCTTTTGAAAAACACTGATTCAAATGTTAAATGTATCTTTGACAACTTGTTTATCTTTAAACCTTTAATTGAAAATCGATACTTATTTCATTATTGTTATTTTAATTGAAGATTCATTTAATACCATTAATTTTAAATACAATGTTTTTGTATGCTTAAAACATTTTGCTTATAATATGATTGAATTCAACTTTGCAACTTCTTCCAACTTATAAATATTTGCAGTAGCACCTACATTCACTCTTCTTTTCCAAATTCGCAGCTTACCTAAAGAAGCTTTTTGTTTTTCAGTTGTATCCACGATTATGACAAATAAACTATGAATTTATTTCATTAAAATAAATAAAAATATTGGCTAAGTAAGCTGTTTTTGTGCAAAAAGTTTTCAATCTTCAGATTTTGAAGCAATGCACTTTCTTTATCTTTCAGAAATTTCGAGACTTCTACGCGTAACTCGAACAAGCGCTTCAAAAATTCTCCTCTTAAAAACCAGCGAAATTCTGTATAATACAGCAGTACTTCGTGGTCAAATCCCATTTCTTGACAAAGTTTTTTAAACAGCCGTTGATTAAATGCTCTGGCTCTTATAAAATTAATTGTTTTGATACACGTGGCCATAACTACTTTCAAGATCTTGTAACAGAAATAGCGAATCTTCTAATGAACTGTCAAACAACTCAACGAACTTTTAATCGAACTTTGAAAAATTATTAGCTCCATCAAACTGCAAATTTACAAAAACAATTTAATTAAATCCATTTCTTTATTTGAATTTTTATATAAATTATGCGCCTCTTGTGATTTTACTATTCTTTGAACAGTATGTGTTAAAAGATTTTGTAATGGTATATTTACCTCTTTGTCAGAGATCTGTATATTATTTGGTATATACTGCATAATCTTTAAGATATATAGCTGTAAAGCGGATAAATAACTCCATTTCTCTTTTTACTTTCTATTCTTATCGTAGTGTACTAAGATTTGAGTAAAACTAAAATTTGATAGAATAGCAAGTTCCTCATCTAGAGACATATTTTTATTTTTTTGTCAATGTTTTTATTGATATCAAGTATATACTTTGTCATATTCAGCTTTTTCAGACAGATAAGAAATTGCTATTCATTTAGCTCGTTTTTTTTTTTATCTTTAAAAGGCGTTTGAGAGTTTCTTTCTGTAAATTCAAAATTAAATTCATGTTCTAACCAGGAAATTGATTTACTGTAAAATATATACTTTGAGAATTGAACATCCTTTAATTTTTGTTTAAACGTGGTTTATAATGTTAATAATTTTTTTCTAATTCTTTTTCTTGAACGATTTCAATTTTCATAACATTCGTCAAAAATTTTAAACACTCCTACATTTTAATAACATCACCAGTCACAAAAAAAAAAATCTTTATTCTTTAACTTTATTTAAAACATTTTATACTTTATTACTTATTTACACAATTATAAATTGACAAAAAGACTTGAATAAATTCTTTAAAATTGCGCAAGCTTTTGAGTTTATCTTAGCTTAAAGGAAATATTTTGAAGTTATATAAATAGTAGGTCTTAAAGTTACCACAATATATGTTTTTATGACAATATTATCGATTTTGATTAAAACTGACTGTCATGTTTTATGTAAAAAAAAAAAAAAAAAAAAAAAAAAAAAAGT